ACAAATCAACGTTTCTTATAAATAGTTCAACGTCACAAAAAATTCTATGGACGGACGAAGCAAAATTTATGAGGCAGGGGATCATAAACCATAGAAACGACCACTTGTGGTGTTGGGAAACCGCTCTCGCAGTTTGACTGAGCACTTTCCAACAGGAATTTGATGTAAACATGTGGGCCCGAATGATCGACGGAGTTTTAGTCGGCCCGGTTGAGCTTCCTCCAAGGTTAGTTGGCCAGGAATTTTTGCTCTTCTTGAGTACCGAGTTTTGAGATCTACGCCACTTAGGGCCGGTTTATCAATGCATGGTTAAATAAATCAACTAGTAGTTAAAAATAATCTGACGGTCAAAATGTTTATCCACCGGCAGTTAAATATTAACCAACAGTTAAACCCGTGTGAAACCTGACCGCAACTTGGATGTTCCAGTTACGAGCGATAACTAGCAGTTAGGATCTGAAGCATGCGCAGATTGCAGACTTCTTCTTGTTTTGATATGTCATTCTTGTCATTTTAACCTCAAAAAGTCTGTGTCAAAACGTAAGCAAAAACAAGGTTTTTGTAAAGAATTATTTTGTTTGAAAATCAAGTGAAAACTTTGAAATATGTTGGGTGATATTGATGCTATGTTCGATGATGATGATGATGCGGAAATAGTAGAGTTTTTAGAATATGAAAGGAGGCCCTATATTGTACGAGAAAGAGAAGACTTCTTCCATTCATTGGACGACATAGATTTTTTTGTGAGGTTCCGCTTGAAAAAAATTACGGTTTTATATATTTTATCTCTCATCGAGGAAGAACTCGAATCTGTTACCGACAGGTAGGTTATTTCACGTTTTTAGAACGCTGCTGATGTTAATACCTATAGGTACTTTTTATTTTCTGCGAATATTTTTTCTGTAATATTTAAACAATATGGAAATAGATATGTGGATTTCATTGAATTTTATTTAACTTATCATGAACAATTCTATGACAAATGACTCCCTGTGGTAACTATTAATTGTATATTTATTTCAGAAATCATTCTATTTCACCCATCAATCAGTTATTACTGACTCTACGCTTCTATGCTACGGGAAACTTCCTACTAACTGTTGGTGATTTCATCAAAGTTAGTAAGAGCTCTGCCTCAAAAATAGTGAAGAAGGTGTCTGAGGCAATAGCTACCTTCTCAGGTAGATTTATAAAAATGCCAAGTAATGATGAGGAAATAAGGAAAGCCAAAAGTAGCTTTTATGAGAAAGCACATGTGCCTAGAGTGATTGGATCCCTTGACTGCACACACATAAAAATTCAGTCACCTGGTATGGTATCTATTTGTATCTATAGAACTTGTACTTATAAAACTTTACCCTTACAGGAGGAAATAATGCAGAACTATTTCGCAATCGAAAAGGCTATTTCTCCATCAATGTACAAACCATTTCAGCCCCCAATCTAAAAATATTAGACATTACTGCACGCTGGCCTGGAAGTCAACATGACCAGATAATTTTTGATAATTCATCAATAAAAAGTAGATTGGAAAGAAATGAATTTGGCAATAGCCTTTTAGTAGCAGACAGTGGTTATGCAAATTCAATGCATGTAATAACACCACTTTTGGAAGCAAGAACACAAGTCCAACAACTTTATAATGAAGCTGGTATGTTTCTATCTCTTATAATCATTACATTATATGGAGCTGTTTTTTATTTTACTCATAAAATAATTTAATTCACTAAAAGCATGAACCATATTTTTTCATTGTACAGATACTACACTGCATTATTTTTTCTATACAAGGAGAATTAAAGTTAATGAGTTTGTTTTTCATTTATTTTTTCAGTTACAAGAACCAGAAATCCTGTGGAAAGGCAATACGGTTTGTGGAAACGACGATTTCCAGTTCTCTCAACAGGGTTGAGACTAAAATTACAGACAACCCTTACAGTGATCGTTGCCACAGCTGTGCTGCATAATATAGCAATTGACCAAAATGAAGAGCAGCCCCCTGATATTCCAAACTTGGATGAAAACATAATCAATTATGAAGAAGATATCAGTGTTGATCCTCCTGAAAATAACTTCATGAATGCCAGGGAACTGTTATTAAGTGAATATTTTCCAGGGCTTTTAAATTAATTCTTTACTTGTACTATTTATGAATTAAATACAAATAAAAAATAGCAATCTTTAATTTCAAAATTATGTGTTATATTTATATATATTACACATATTTTATAATTTATCATTTGTTCTAATCTGCAGTTCCATTTTCAAAATGTCTTGCTTCAGTTTCAGGTTTTCCATTTTTATTTTATGCTCTGCAGCATTTTGCTTTTTTATTTCTTCTGCAATCGACATTTGCAAATTCACCAGCTCTAACTTCTTCATAGCCAGTTCTTCAAATTTCGAAGAAGCAGAAGACATGCTTTTCTTTTTCTTAATTACTGGTCTTCGCCGACATGACCATGGCTCTAAAATAAAATTTTTGTATAGTAACATAAATATGAGATATCTATATACCTATATTTATAAGAAATATTTCACAGATACTTTTAGAGCTGGGAGTCTCTGCTACACTGATACTGTCAGTATTATGGTCGGTTACTTCCATATCTTCTCCACTTACGTCCACCTGTAGCACATTCGGCCTTGATACTTTCAAAGCTGGATGAATGTGTGTTTGAAGGTAGGAAGTACTGGGTGTGTTCCACTCAATATCTTCATGCGTTTCTACTATCACACTGCTGTTTTCAATCTCCTCAATTTCAACTCCTCTTACACCTGTAATCAAAATCAAATTAAGCATGATCCAAAGGTAAAAATAAAAAAACAGAACTTTCCTGCTATGGCATCTGAATCATATTGAGACTGAAGACCCTCAACAGAAACTATGATAGTTTGTAATAGTTCCTTCTCTTCTTCAGTCTCAGGTTTGGGTTCTTCTTTTGAAGCACCACCACCTGTTCCAAGCATATAGCACTTATGGCTGCTATATTTTTTTTTCAGCTCCTTCTTAATGGCCTCATACTTTGTTTTTAGCTGTTTTGCTGTTCGTGGCTAAAAATTTATTCATATATGAACAATTACGGAACAAAAACTAATATTGCATTCATACTCTTTTCACTACAGTTTATATCTTATTTAACAGAGTTGGGAAATGTTGCCAAAACTGTATATTGGAAATCAATTAATTTATCACATACTATAGCAATTGAAAAGTATATGTATATACTCACCACTCCAGTT